GGACACAAGCGTCACCACTTGTCACCAAGTGTCACGATGTTGCAGGTGCTGGTGGTGGACACAAGCGTCACCACTTGTCACCAAGTGTCCCGATGTTGCAGGTGTTGGTGGTGGACACAAGCGTCACCACTTGTCACCAAGTGTCCCGATGTTGCAGGTGTTGGTGGTGGACACAAGCGTCACCACTTGTCACCAAGTGTCACGATGTTGCAGGTGCTGGTGGTGGACACAAGCGTCACCACTTGTCACCAAGTGTCCCGATGTTGCAGGTGTTGGTGGTGGACACAAGCGTCACCACTTGTCACCAAGTGTCCCGATGTTGCAGGTGCTGGTGGTGGACACAAGCGTCACCACTTGTCACCAAGTGTCCCGATGTTGCAGGTGTTGGTGGTGGACTCTCGCACCTTCTGCGAGTACAACACCAGTCACGTGGTGGGTGCAGTCAACGTCTGGTCGTCCAAGATAAGAAAGAAGAGACTGCAGCAAAACTCGGTTAGTAACATAAATTCTTCCTATACTTAAATGATATTCAAACTACGAAAAATATAACTCAGTACTCACTGCAGTGACGAGTGACAGAGAGCGCATTTTCTCGTCGACGAAAACTTGAGGTCATGGACGGACAGACGGACAGACAGACAGACAAACGGACGAACATGGCGAGCACAATAGTGCATTTTTTCCATAAATGAGAAAATGCGCTAAAAAGGGAAATGTTTCTTAGTTTTAAGTCTGAAGTGCAATACTACTGTAGCTTTATGTTAGATTAGCATTAGTTCGGTCCCTGGCCAGGCAGTTTAGCTGAAATATCAAATACTTCATCAATATTTGCAACTTCTTTGCTCCGAATCTCACAGTTCTCACTTACTGCATGGTTCAGTCTTAATGTTTTCGTCTAACAGTATAGTGTTAGTATATCTCACATGGCAGTTGTCACCTCGTAATTTTTACTTGAGCAGGCAGTTTTCAACGAGTAATTCTCATATAGTAGCTTTATATAGCCTGTACCACGTGTATCTTGTGCCTGTATCACGTGTATCTCGTGCCTGTATCACGTGTATCTCGTGCCTGTATCACGTGTATCTCGTGTATCTCGTGCCTGTATCACGTGTATCTCGTGCCTGTATCACGTGTATCTCGTGCCTGTATCACGTGTATCTCGTGCCTGTATCACGTGTATCTCGTGCCTGTATCACGTGTATCTCGTGCTTGTATCACGTGTATCTCGTGCCTGTATCACGTGTACCTCACGTGGACCTGGCGTGCAGATGAGCGTGCGGGACTACGTGGCCAGCGCGTGTGAAGGCCGCGCGTGTGGTCCGTGTGGTCCGTGGGGGGAGGTGGTGGTCTACGACCTCAGCGCCCCCAGCCTCGCCGCGGTGCCCCACGACTCCTTCCTCTACGTCCTCCTGGACAAACTGGCCTCCTCCTACAGACACGTCCAGCTCCTTGTTGGTGAGTGGCGTGAGTGACACGTCCAGCTCCTTGTTGGTGAGTGGCGTGAGTGGTGTGAGTGACATGAGTGACACGTCCAACTCCTTGTTGGTGAGTGGCGTGAGTGGTGTGAGTGACACGTGCAGCTCCTTGCTGGTGAGTGGTGTGAGTGGCATGTGCAGCTCCTTGTTGGTGAGTGGTGTGAGTGACATGAGTGGCATGAGTGACACGTCCAGCTCCTTGCTGGTGAGTGGTGTGAGTGGCATGTGCAGCTCCTTGTTGGTGAGTGGTGTGAGTGGCGTGAGTGGTGTGAGTGACACGTCCTGCTCCTTGTTGGTGAGTGGTGTGAGTGACACGTCCTGCTCCTTGTTGGTGAGTGGTGTGAGTGACACGTCCTGCTCCTTGTTGGTGAGTGGCGTGAGTGGTGTGAGTGACACGTCCTGCTCCTTGCTGGTGAGTGGTGTGAGTGACACGTCCTGCTCCTCGTCGGTGAGTGGCGTGAGTGGTGTGAGTGACACCTGTCTCTTATACACATCTAGATGTGTATAAGAGACAGGTCCTGCTCCTTGCTGGTGAGTGGTGTGAGTGACACGTCCTGCTCCTCGTCGGTGAGTGGCGTGAGTGGTGTGAGTGACACGTCCAGCTCCTTGTTGGTGAGTGGTGTGAGTGGCACGTCCAGCTCCTTGTTGGTGAGTGGCGTGAGTGACACGTCCAGCTCCTCGTCGGTGAGTGGCGTGAGTGGTGTGAGTGACACGTGCAGCTCCTTGTTGGTGAGTGGCGTGAGTGGTGTGAGTGACACGTGCAGCTCCTTGTCGGTGAGTGGCGTGAGTGACACGTCCAGCTCCTCATCCAGTATGACACTGAACTTTAAATTCAGCGACTTAATTTATTAGACCAGCGAACTGACGAAGTCTCCCTTCACTAGAATCGCATCACTTTACTAGAGGGAGTTCTCTATGGAGTGTTATTAAGTAATTTATTCAATTAATTATGTCTCTGTTTACTTATCTTATGATCTAGTTATTTATTCAATTGCATTTTTAGTGTCCAGGGTGATACCAAGAATACAATTATATTCATGCAATAAAATCAAACTTCGCCGAGTTCCTCGTAGAGTCAAAAAAGTGTCATGCATCCTTCAAAGTCGTAGGATCTCTGAAAATGATTCTAATTTATGTATTAAATTCTTATATTCCTAACTCAACTGACGTCTGCCTTACCTCGTCCATTCTTTTATTCTATTTTCCGATGGTAAAGATGCTGAAAATTCCCTACATCGTCGCCTACATCACCCCCATATCCCGTACGCCCCTACATCACCCCCATATCCCCCACGCCCCTACATCACCCCCATATCCCTCACGCCCCTACATCACTCCTCATCATCACCCCACACCCCCATATCCCCCTACATCCCCCTACACCCCCGACAGGAGGGTTCTTGGGGTTCCAGGCCGCCTACCTCTACATCTCCCACCCTCTTCATCACCCCCACACCCCTACATGCCCTACATCACCCTACACCCCCCTACATCTCTATACCCCCGACAGGAGGGTTCTTGGGGTTCCAGGCAGCGCATCCCGACTGCTGCGAGGACGCGGGTCAGAAATGCTCGCCGCTGACGTCGCTGTCGCAGCCCTGCCTGCCCGTCGCCAACACGGGCCCTACCAGGGTCCTGCCCTTCCTCTACCTGGGGTCCCAGCACGACGCTAACAACAAGCAGATGTTGCAGGTAGTACAGGCGGTAGTGCAGGTAGTGCAGGTGGTAGTGCAGGTAGTGCAGGCATATGTTGCAGGTAGTGCAGGCAGGTCCTGCCCTTCCTCTACCTGGGGTCGCTGGCGTGGACGTGGTATAGCTGGATTTTTCTAAAGCTTTTGACAAAGTTGACCATGGGGTGCTCTTTATAAAGCTGAGGCTGTTGGGGGTAGGAGGAAGCCTGTTGAGGTGGAGCCACAACTTCCTTATAGATAGAGTACAAGCTGTCGCAATTGGAAACTCGAAATCGAGAGAAGCGAAAGTGAAAAGCAAAGTCCCGCAGGGCTCAGTGCTTGGACCGATCCTCTTCCTCATCCACATTGCCGACATAGACTCGGAACTCACCCACGCATCTACATCTACGGAACACGTCCAACGTTACATCCGACGACGACTCGGAGACGGAGGACGACGAAGGCGGCGCATCAGCGTGACCGTGGACTACGACGTCCTAAACTCATCATAAGGTTATAAGGTCACAAGGGTCCCAGCACGACGCTAACATCAAGCAGATGTTGCAGGTAGTTTTATTCTCTTATTTTATTTCGGGCATGTTTCTTCATCAGTCTAAAACTTTTAATTCAGAAAAAACGCCTTATTTTCAACTTTTCAACTTAAATTTTCTGTGGGCAATAAGATCTGTTGCCGCTCCCCTCGTCTCCGTTGACAAGAGTTACAGGTTCAACAGGTTACAGGACTTGAAGGATTAGTTATCCTCCTACAACTTGAAAGAATCAATTTACTTTCCGGATAAAAGTTTATTTGATTCTTTATCGAATACTTCAAGTAATCTACATTGATAGCGAAGGTTTGCTGGGGGTGCATATTTCGTTAGCTAGAGTTCATGCAATGGATAACTTAGCCATAACAACTTTGCATGAAAAGCTTCAATAATAACTCTATATTATATTATTTCCTTCAATAATATTATTAGTTTCTGTGATGTTTCTGCCATTCATTGAGATTGTGCAAACGTAAATATAGATTTCGGCATACATAATTTTTTTGCCGTCTCTGCATCTGAGGTGAAGAATATCTCATTCATCACATTCACAACTGCATGGAGCTAGATGCTGCAGCTAGGTAGCCACAGTAGGTAGTGAATGTGATGAATGAAATCCATACAGCATAAGAATGTAGTGAATAAAATTCAAAATTCATAAGCAGCCCACTGACACACTTATCCCCCCACAGCACCACTGACACACTTATCCCCCCACAGCACCACTGACCCACTTATCCCACTGACCCACTTATCCCCCGACAGCACCACTGACCCACTTATCCCCACTGACCCACTTATCCCGGCAGGATCACTGCATCCTGTACGAGGTGAACGTGAGCATCTCGTGTCCTAAGCCGGACTTCGTGCAGGACTCGCACTTCCTACGCATCCCCGTCAACGACAACTTCAGCGAGAAGCTTACGCCTTATTTCTTCGACGCCTTCAGGTTCATAGGTGAGACTTGCGCCTTATTGTGAGACTTACGCCTTATTTCTTCGACGCCTTCTGGTTTATTAGTGAAATTCATGTCCTCTAAATTCGCTCAGAAAAGTGAATGTGTTGTATTGTCCATGTTTATTAAGAAATTCATTAATGTTTCTACGAATGGGTACAGAATGTGGACAAAAGTTGCACTGATTTGCCCATTTGACGGACCAAACTGAGTCAAGATGACGCATACAATTTGCAAAAAGTGCCGCGTTGTGTAGACGAAGTCTGTGCTTTTTAGACTTAAATAATTCTGTAGGTTTCAAGATTATTCTTGTAATTTTTATTATACAATAGTTTCATTTGCCTGTAATGAAATATTACACATGTTTAACTTGACCTTTTTTTGATCCTCGTCTCCTCTAAGGATGCGAAAGAAACGCTACACTCTCGGGTGATTGGATTTTAGGACTTTAGGACATTTAATTTTTTTTTACCTTTTTTAATGTTTTTAAGAACTTTTTTTTTATTGCTTGCATCTACCGTGCGCTGCGATGCTTGAGCTCTTGAGAAATGCTGCAGAAAATTTGATCGATCAAAATCTGTTTTCAAACTCGCAATTGATTTCTAAAACTCGCAAAAATTGAAAATCTCCTCTAACAAATAAATCTCCCCCAAACAAATAAATCTCCCCAAACAAATAAATCTCCCCCAAACAAATGAATCTCCCCCAAACAAATAAATCTCCCCCAAACAAATAAATCTCCCCTAAACAAATAAATCTCCTCAAAAAATAGATCTCCCCCAAACAAATAAATCTCACCCAAACAAATAAATCTCCCCTAAACCTGTCTCTTATACACATCTAGATGTGTATAAGAGACAGNGAGATGTTGATAAATTAACTCCATGCCATGTCCTAATGTCTAACCCCTTGTTCGCAGGCCTTATCTATGCCACTAAACTGCACCTAAACTCCATCTGTAATCTTACATCAATATCACCAATAAACTACCGGAACTCGTCCACGACCAATTACCCTTCCATCAATTAGTAATCTCCATAACTTACCGCTACCAAATATCCTGCCAAAGTAACAACACTGCCTTACAACCAGCCAAAGTTATAACCTGTCTCTTATACACATCTAGATGTGTATAAGAGACAGATCTCCCCCAAGCAAATAAATCTCCCCCAAGCAAATAAATCTCCCCCAAACAAATAAATCTCCCCCAAACAAATAAGAGAAAGAACTTTTTAAACTTTTTTTTTTTTTTTTTTGTGTGGAATATCTTGGGAGGAAGGCCCGTGAGATTTATCGTCAGTTTTTTTTATAAAATTTGAACGTTATTTTTTTTGGAGTGGATCAAATTTTCCAAAGCCCAACATATTAACGTATTAATTAATTAATATATTATCGTAACGTATTATCTGTGTCAGCGCTTAGAGATAATAAAAATACTGAAAATAATTATTATAATGGCATTAAAAATTAATAGAAATGATAGTAAAAAGTTATAGTGTGTAAAGGAATATATTATATCAAGCATAGCACCGCCCATAGAAAATAAAAATAATGGAAATAATTATTTTAATAATATTAAAAATTAATAAAAATTATAGTAAAGAGTCAGTGCGTGAAAAAGAATATATTATAATAATTTATATTAGGTATTAAGTGGGTGACCAATATATACTTATATAAATATAATATTATATCTACAAATACACTATATCACTATAATTAATATATTATATGAATTAATATTAATTAACTATATCACTGCGTACAGACAAGGTCCGGGAGTCAGGGGGCAGCGTTCTGGTGCACTGCCTGGCTGGCATCTCCCGCTCTGCTACCGTGGCTATAGCTTACGTCATGAAACACCTGCACCTGCCTTATGAGGAGGCTTACAGGTCAGTGAGTACCTGCACCTGCCTTATGAGGAGGCTTACAGGTCAGTGAGCACCTGCACCTGCTTTTCGCCGATTTCGCAGATTTTAGGCATTTTTAGCGCGATTTTTGGGTCGGAAAAAAATCGGTTTTCCGATGCCGACCGCCAAAAATGGATTTCAGATTCGTAATCTACACCCCAAAAAACATATAATTAAAAAAAAAACACCCTTTTTTTTGGATGTAGTTAATCTGCAATAATACCCTTCGTTGTGCCAGAGGCCGATTAGCTTTTTTTTATTCTATCCTCAGGATTATCCTCACTCTATTTATCCTCAGGTACGTTAAGAATCGCCGACCCACAATATCCCCCAACATCAACTTCGTCGGGCAGCTGCTGGAGCTGGACCGAGTTTTGCGGACGGACGGCGCACTCTGTGACCCGTCATCCGCACCTGCGTCGTTCCGACAACCCTGCGGTAACATGACCGCATCACCTTACGGCTCCACCATCACCAACATCACCAACCCAGCGTCTTCTTATACTTCTCTTAGCCTTGACTACGCCATTAATAACAAAAACTACAATAACAGATCTTCGACGGGAGGTGTTCTGAGTGACGTCACGTCTTCGTCATCGTGTTATTTGGTGCCCACGGCTGGCAGTGCCCTGCAGAGGAGCGATAAATGCGCTAATGTTGTAGGAGCGAGCGACTCCTGGCAGTCCTTCAACAGGTCTGTTGTGAAGTCTTGCAGTCGTACGACCAGCGACTTGCATGTAGAAAATAGCAACTACTCGGTGGTGTCTTCCGTTGGCTGTAAATTTGGCGGTGGAAGCACCAGTAATGTTTCCCGGACGCTTATCACTCAAGATGAAGGCCCTTCGAAGGCTGCGCGCTTGACGCCCTCCGGCGCAGCCCTTGGTGTTCTGCCGCGGTGCCCCTCCGACTCCGCGGCTTGTAAAGCCCTTCGGGATGAGGCGAGACTCGCATGCTTGGGGTGCCCCAAAGGAGCGGTTCACTCTGGCATTACGCGATCTTTGAGCCTTAACTTAAAGAGCACGCTTGAGGCCGTGCCTGGTTCCCCAGGCTCCACCCCTCAGTCCCCAGAATATCCCGTTGCGACTAACATCCATCTTAGTTCATCCCAGTCGACGCCACTCCCCATCCTCACCCCTGAGTCTGGGGAGCGTGCCACTCACCTCTACTCCCCGTCGTCCCTTTCCTCCTCTCTTAGCTCCCCAATGTCGGGTGTGGCTACTCCAGTGATTGGGCCATCTAGACTCACTTTCAACACCATGGGCGCTAATATAAGTCCGAGGAGTTCATTTTCATGTTCAGATCCAACAGGGACAGGACAAAGTCTTAGATCTCCTACAATAATCAAAGTGCAAAAGAGTCCAACCATCATGGAGAACATTTTCGACCGTCAATACTCTGCCATGAATGCGCGTAATGAGAACCTCAACAGCCAGAAGAACATCAAGAACAGTCAGAAGAACTTGTATAGTAGCACAGCCACGATCAGCGTAGCTGGATCTGATGCTACGGATGACAGCTGCCGTCCTCGGTCAGTGTGCATTATAGAGGTGAACGCTAACCCTCCCGTCACCTACGTAGAAAACTGCTCCACTGAACCCATGATCGTCAGGGAAACTGAAGTAATGGCAACACCTTCATCTATGGCCGAGCTTATAAGCTTTAGGAATGCTACGGCAGTTGAATGTTCTAATAATGCTTCCAATAATAATAATGTATATGCTAATATGAGTTGTACTTCTGAACCGCTTAATACCGACACATGTGCGACAAATAATCTTAATTGCGCGGCTACAAATAAAAGTTCCTCATCTTCTAGTTCCTCTAATCTGGTGCAGCGTTGTCAGGGAATGCCTTCCTTGGACGATAACGACAGCCGATCAAGCGTCGTACGCCACACTTTAGTTCCTATCCGAGCGTCGTCTAGTTTTGGCAGCATCATAGACCGACCAAAGGTCCTGGAACTCTGCACTCCAATGTTCACACGACGACCGGGTGCTGGGGGTGGCCCGGGGGATGGTGGTATGATCATGGGTGACTGCACCTGGCAAAATCGCTCATCCAGCGACCTGGAACCGAGTGATCCTTCCACTGCACCACGCCCAGAGCCTCCTGCATTGCCCTGTAGCAACGATATGCCCGGTGACAGTAACAACAACAACAACAACACCGAAACTTTCGCGGACCAAGAAGCTGTAGTCGAGTCCAATGCCGAGACGATGTCCGTGACTGGGTCTTCGGAGGACACAGCCAGTGAGTTTGGTGCCGTGCAGAGCGACTCGGGTGTTAGCTTCGAGACGGACCTCTACCCTGGGGGGACGTCTCGAGCCATACCTCGCTGCTATTCGTCCAGCGAGACGCACCTCAACACGAGACGTCTCTTGGAGGCGCATGGAGACTACGCGACGCGTAAGTCCTGCAGCAACGACGAGGTCCCTAGGACTTGGTCCCTGCACAGACCCCTCACGACCGCCGGCAGCAACCCTCTGTCTGTCAGAGACGATACTTCAGACGACCAGATGCATGGTAAACTTCTATATCTATGTTTTATGAAATTATTATTCATAATCATAATTTTTTGGTTAAAAATATTCAAAAGATGGAAACTACAATCTTATGTAGTAAAGAAAACAGTTATAAATTATAAATATTTTCTAAATTGAAGGTATAGTTTGCTTTGGTGTTTTCAATAATCTGTACTAAAGAAAATAGTGAGAAATTATAAATATTTTCTAAATTGACAATATAGTTTGCTTCGGTTCTGCCTATAGTCTGTTACACTCCGCCACTTAGGACGATCATCTTTGGCTTGGCCACGGAACGTTCATTGCGTGCTTTAAAATATTGTTCCTTATTGGCCGCTTAACAACTATTTAAACTGATATATTTGCTTGTTCAGGTGTCGCTATTAAAAATGTAGTATACGTTACTTCGTTAGTGGCTTGTCTTCAAATGTATTAAGTTTTCAGTAAAAAGGTGAACTTGTTTTTTTTTTTTGCACAGGTCGCGCTATCAAAATCTATTTAGTTGGTGACAAATATTCCATATATACTTGGTTTTTAAGTAACACTTTAAACTAATGACTATATTTTTTGATGAAAACTAATGGCTATCTTTTTTGTTGAAAACTTATGGTTATCTTTCATGTTGAAAACTAATGGCGACGTATCTTTTTTGTTGAAAACGTATGGCTATCTTTTTTGTTGAAAACTAATGGCTGTTTTTTTTGCTGTAAACTACTGACTATCTTTTTTGCTGTAAACTACTGGCGATCTTTTTTGCTGTAAACTACGGGCTATCTTTTTTGCTGTAAACTACTGGCGATCATTTTTGTTGTAAACTACTGGCTATCTTTTTTGCTGTAAACTACTGGCTATCTTTTTTGCTGTAAACTACTGGCTATCTTTTTTGCTGTAAACTACTGGCTATCTTTTTTGCTGTAAACTAATTTATATTTTTCTCATCGAGGTGTTGCCAACCAGTGGCACTACCCCGGCGAGCTGGTGCGCTGCGACAGCTGGTCCACCAGCGGCCTGGGGTCGGAGCTCTCGGACTGGGAGAGCCTTCAGGAGGACGTCAACTCGACGCACTGCGACGACGCACTCGGGCCATTCGACGCAGTTTTTTCCGACGTTTTTCCAGGGGAAAAAACAGACTCGCTGAGCTCGGCCAGCCAACTTTACATGCGAGTTTTCCCTGCCAGACTTTTTGAGGACGGGGCAGTGAGATCGCCTTCTGCAGAAGAGCGTCTCGGGGACGACAAAGCCGCGTGTCCGGTCTCAGGTCCCGGTGGAGACCGAAGACCGCGGCATCACTCGTTCAAAGAGCAGCGCGGTGTCCGGCCCCAGCAACAGATCCTTCTTGGGCCCGGAAAACTGATCCCCTTGGCCCGCCCTGCAAGCTTGCCTGGAGTCATGGGCTCTTACCTTGCCCAGGTAAACTATTTTTCTGTTGCCTTTATAAATAATATAAATATTAATAATTTATTCGAAATAATCTCTTGAGTCCATATAATCGAAATGATTGCTTGATTTGGATTAATGATTGAAATGGTGCTACGATCTCTTTTATACCGAAAACTTGCCTCATTTGTTAACATCGCAACGTAATAAATTTAAGCTCATGAACAAAATGAACAAATTTTATACAGGTATTAGCGAAAATGGGGGTCCCCTAGCGTACGTTGCCTATCCCTCATTTCTGGTAATGAATATTGTATATTTAGGAGTATATATTATAATTGTGGTTCTATTATATATTAACATATAATAGGATAATTAATATATATTATATTATATTACCTATATTAAATTATATTATATTATAATATATTATGTTATATTGTATTATATTAATTATATGGTAAAACATTTGTATATGTTGCAGACTCGCAGCGATGACGACGATGGTGTGGAGCTGAGGTCTGTCAGTGGCAGAGGCCGCGGCATTCAGCGGTCCTGCGGGTCCCGGGACAGCGGCACCAGCGGCTGCGGCTTGAGAGGCAGCGGCACGCCCTCTGAGTCTGCCACTGGAGTTCAGCGGAATGACTCGGGGTATTTAATGCTCACCTTACATTACCTCGCACTCATTATGCACTATTATTGCATACACTTCATTCACTTTAAGTTCTTTCACCTACACATCTATAACCTACACCTCTTTCACCTACACATCTTTCACCTACACATCTATAACCTACACATCTTTCACCTACACATCTTTAACCTAAACATCGTTCACCTACACATCTTTCACCTACATATCTTTCACACCTACACGTACCTCACCTACACATCTTTCAAACCAACACATTATTCACACCTACACATCTTTCACACCTACACATACCTCACCTACACATCTTTAAAACCTACACATACCGCAATAAAGAAAACACCTCAAAGAAAACTCCACAAAAATTCACAGTATCTTTAAAGAAAACGTTTCGGAGTCCAGCTTCATCATCAGTTCGAAAATTCTAGAACACAGATAAATCAGTAATTAGTACAGTCAAGATAACAACAAAAAAACCTAAGCTGTAAAACCTACCTGTTTACAGTTTCAAGCGGGTAAGAGCTAAAAGCTAAATTCAAACTAGGCCTCTGTTTAAAAATATACAATGATTCTAAAATGCGCAAATCAGAAACACCGGAACTGGAAGCTAAAACTTTGAAGTCACTGTCAGAAACTGGAACATCGCACTGCTCGGCGTGAGCCCGCACAGCTGAATGAGGTGGGCGCGACAGTAAGTTACCAGTTCTACAACTCCTGCCCTTATGTTCTGCGACCCTAGAATAAAGATTGCGAGACGTCATCCCGACGTACGCAGATGCACATCGTGCACAACTATATTGATAAACTAGGGACTATCGCATAAGCATAGGGAGAGTATCTTTGTACCTAAAAAAAGAACCGATTTTAAAATGGTTGACCAATATAACAAGAAGATTAACATTTGTGAAATACTTTGAAAACAAAAGTTTTAGCTCCCTTGACATAGTTTCGGATGCAGGGCCGGAATATGGAAAGGAGCAATAAACAACATCCCTGCTGTCGCGCTCGGGAGCAACCTCACTGTACCGCTTAGACATGAATTTCTTTATTTGGGTAAACACCAGATTAGTCGAAAATCCATTAAGCGAAAAGAGATATTGCGTAAAAATTCAAATTAAGCGTGCAGAATATTGTAAGTAGAACAAATACGAAAGCCTCGATGTAAAAGTGTTTGAATCCCATTAATCTTAAATCGAAACGAGCAAAAGCTAAAAAAGCTTTTACTGATACCTGTGAAAGTCAATCTTCGGAATACAGAAGTTTGAAAACGGCCATTAGATTTAGTAATATTGCAATCGAGGAAGGACAGGCTATTCTTAGATTCCAGTTCCATATAGTAAATTTGATGGATTTATGTTGCGAATTTAGGTAATCGAAAAAGACTTTAACGTTTCGATTAACTAAATTCGCAACATAAATCTATCAAATCCTCACGCCGAGCAGTAACAGTTTCAGTTTCTGACAGTGACTTCAAAGTTTTAGCTTCCAGTTCCGGGTTTTCTGATTTGCGCATTTTAAAATCTTTGTATATTTTTAGACAGAGGCTTAGTTTGAATTTAGCTTTTTGCTCTTACCCGCTTGAAATTGTTAATAGGTAGGTTTTAGAGCTTAGGTTTTTTTTTTTTGTTATCTTGACTGTACTAATTACTGATTTATCTGTGTTCTAGAATTTTCGAACTGATGATGGAGCTGGACTCCGAAACGTTTTCTTTAAAGATACCTCAATATACCTCGTTTCATCATCCATCTCTGTTGATATGTAAGGTTTTGAATAATGCCATCTTATTACTTGTACTGACTTCACCAGGCACAGCAATAATACGATGATGTGAGGAATTTAATTATAATTACTACTTTGTGAATAAGAACTTGTGAGAATAATCTTTGCATTTAATAATGTATCCTGTCTTTATTTCCATAAACTTAATTGACTGTTTCTTATCTCGCCCGCGCAGGTATTATTCTGTGGGAGACCCGCCTGCCTCCACTAGGGGAGACCCTGCCTGTAGTGCTGGTCCTGGTGAGTGGGCAGGTGGTAGACTAGAAGGTAGGTAAAGAGGTAGGTTGTAGGTAGGCGAGTAGGTAGATGAAGAGCAGGTGGGGAGGTAGGTGAGTGAGTAGGTGGGAGGTGGTAGACTAGGAGGTAGGTGAAGAGGTAGGTTGTAGGTAGGAGAGTAGGTAGATGAAGAGTAGGTGGGGAGGTAGGTGAGTGAGTAGGTGGGGAGGGGGTAGTTGATAAAGAGGTAGTTGAAGAGGTAGGTTGTACACTTGTAGGTAGATGAGTAGGTGGATGAAGAGTAGGTGGGGAGGTAGGGGAGTGAGTAAGACATATCAGAAATGTCTATGACGATGAGGCTAGTTCAGGAGAGAGCGGGATTTGAACAAAATTTTTAAATAAATTTCCCTCAAATTAGTGGTTAGAGGTTCTTGTATTAGCAATGTGCAAAATTATCTTACTTATTTATTGTATAATTTCATTCAGTTTTTGTTACCCTCCACAGATTGTAAAATTACTGACGGATTTGCATGAAAAATTCAGACTGGTATATTCTTTGCGAGGGCAGCCAGTCTGTGTGCTCACGGCAATGGACCAGCCTTTGAAGCTTATTGCTATGCTGCTATTTGACCATTAAACTATTTAACGTCATAATAAGTCGTTACACTGCGTTGGTGTATTGTAACGTGTAGATGGTATTTACAGCAATAGGATTCTTAATCATGCATATTGTATGAAATGCAATGGGGCTTGCTCTCTTGCAGGCATGTGCTGCGAGGCTGAGGTTGACAGCTGCCTCGGCAAGCCTCAAGGCCCGAAGACGCGTCAACAGCCTCCCAACAAGTTGATGCTCAATCCTCTTCAGCCTCCTCTTCCAAAACCCGTCCCCTTCCGCCCTCCTCGGTCCACAGGTCCTTCCTCTTTGTCATCACCCACGAAGACAGCGTCTTCTTCTCCTAAAGCTGCTCCAAGACGGACATCTCCTACGAAATCCCCGTCGCCGCAGAAAACCTCTTCCCCAACCAAGTTGCCCCATCAGCTTCCCCCTTCGTCCCCAACACGCAAGTCATCCTGTTCCCCTCCTAAGACTCCGGCGTCCCCACAACCTCGCATTTTTGGGGCTTCAACCTTCTACCTGCCAGGGGACTTCAAAGAATCTCCTCCGTATCTCTCTCCTGACAAGGTTTCCTCATTGAGTCCTTCGGTCCTGAGCAAAACAAACGTGCGTCCCGGGGCGTTGCTCTGCAAGAACCACGACATCAGCAACACCATAACCTCCTTCAATAACAACAGCAATAGCTGTGACGGCAACAATATGATAAACGAAATAAAGAGCAATGTTTTTGTTTCTAGGGTGGCTGTTCCTGAGCGCCGTGTTGGCAAACCCAAGACAATCTTAACATCCAGGTCCGCTCCAGCTTTTAGTGCGGCCAAATTGGGTCCACGGAACTGTCTGGGATCATTGTCGGGCCGGTCCCCCAAGTCCCTTAGTCCCGTCTTAAGCTGCTCAGTGTCTCCAGATACTGGGTCCCCTCTACGAGACTCGGACTCTCGGTCAGGAGAGACGACAATCCCCGAGAACTCGTCAAGTTCCAGTAGCAGGGAGACATCAGTCGAGTCTGAAGCTTCCATTGTACAAACTCGAAACTTTGCTGAGGATTCAATTTCTGGACATGCCTGGTCGTCTATACCTGCATTAGACCCTGCCAAGGGTCCTGAATACTCCGTAAAACATTCATTTGCCAACTCTACATCTTCAGACACTATAGTCACTGCCGAAACTTCCTCTACAGCGCCCAAAAATACAGAAAGTGAAAGATCTTCTCCTGAAGAAGACCGCTTGAGCTCGTCCAAGAAGAGTCGAGGGTCCGAGGAGCAGAAGACCAAAGAGAAGAGGAGAAGTTGTGAACTTGATTCTTCTTCGTCGTGTGAAGAGCAGAACAAGAAACCTGTTAGCCTCAGGAGCGGTGGGTTGTGGCGTGGGAGTTGTGGGTTGGGGTGTGGGAGTTGTGGGTTGACGTGTGGGAGTTGCGGGTTGGGGCGTGGGAGTTGTGGGTTGGGGCGTGGCGTTGGAAAATGATGGCATAATGATCCCATAAATAAATATGCAAGTATGATATGCATATCAAGTAACACGCAATAAATATAGTAGGAAGGTATATATAAAACTAAAATCCTTCTCATCGAATGAAAATTATTCACTTTAATTGGTGGGAATGATTTGAGATTTTTTATGCTCATTAGTTATGCTCATAAATACTTCTCGTTTTCAAGGTATTTTTAAGTAAGAAATTGTATGGAGACATAATTCCTTGGAGCATTCATGTCCAATACTAAGTTACCTTTGATTTACCCGACCTCTGCTGGTGCAAGACTTTGTGGTTCTTTTCTTAGACCAGCTTTTGCTCGTCTTGAATTTTACCGTCCTGTTTTCTTCCTTATTTTTATGTATATTCTGTTGCATGCTGCCTGTCATTTAACCTCCTCTTCATGATTTTATAACTCGGCTCACTATGCTCCTGCTTTCATGGGGAACATTAACTTCCGTTCTTTTCCTATGTGTTTCATTGAAATTTACTGTACTTGTGGCTTAGGTTATCTCAATGTCTCTAATTTTATTTTAATAATTAGATTCATGATAATTTTTATTATAATTTGTTGAGATAGACTACGTATTGATCGGTACTTGTGATCTGGTTTGTCTTCAGTTCAAAGCTTACTCGCTTTCCCAGAAACGTGCCTTTGCTTTCAAACTAATAAAATTCTTGCCTTGTTTCTTTATAATTTTGTTTCCAATCAGTCTTCAGTCATTTGATACTGTATGTTAAAGTTCATCTTTCATGTTTCCAATTGTTTTAAGGATCTTAAGATGCTGGACTAGATCTTTGCCTAAATTACGTTTGTGGATTTCTGAAGACTTCCGATGGAGTCGAGAATAAGTGATAATTTGAGTTGCATTTGATCGTTGGTTTTTGAACGGTTCAAGGGATAACTATTTTAGTCGCCCTGAGCAAAACGAGTTGACACCAAGCTCCTTTTCTTTCGTTTTTAGTTTATAAAAGTGACGGCATTGTATTTTACCGCATTTTCTCATTTATGGAAAAAATACCCTATTGTGCTCGTCATGCCCGTCCGTGACTTCATATTTTCGTCGATTTTGAGAAAATGCGCTCTTTGTCACTCACTGCAGTGAGTATTGAGTTATATTTTTATATTAGATACAAACGAAGGCATTGTATTTTATTGTATTAGATAAAAAGGATAGTGAGGATAATAAATTAGAAAGGGTAGTGACAAGTGGTACGTATGTTCGTTCGTAGGACGCACGGAGGTCTCTGCTGCGGCGGCAGACTGTCACTCCACACGACGCTTGCGATAGGTAAGATGTGCTTAGTGCACCTCACCGCCGTCTGGTGCACCTCACCGCCGTCTGGTGCACCTCACCGCCGTCTGGTGCACCTCACCGCCGTCTGGTGCACCTCACCGCCGTCTGGTGCACCTCACCGCCGTCTGGTGC